CACTCGCGGCATCGATTAATCTCAATTCGTGTGATACGAAAAGAGAGAAAGTTAAAGAGACAGAAAGAGAGACAAATTTTGACAGCGATTGCCATAATTAAGATAGTTTTATTAATTGTTCTTTTATAAGGTAATTATCTTATTCTTTTAGAAACGATTAATCATCTCACAGAAATGTATTCTTCTCATAAATACATATACTACAATAAGACTCTAATTGCATGCAGTTGATCCGATGATCCGATAAGTCAGTATGCAGACTTGATTTGCACGTAATTACATGCGATCTACTGATCAGATAATAGATAAGGAGCCACAAAATTGATTTCTTGAAATTAATTCATGTATTATAACTTGCTCCTTTACCTAACATTATATCTTGCTCCTTTTACCTCCTTTTTGTGACGTTTTGTAAAAAGAACGCAGTAGCTACATTAGATTTATTTTCTATGTGAAATATGTTCTGTTTCAATTTCAAAATATTTAACAACAAAGTTATAAGAATAAATATCAGTAATTAAACTTGAAACAAAAATTTTTATCTCTAAAAATAAAGAGAGGCCCTTTAACTTTCAAACAAACGCTTTAACAATTGTACGTCGTGTACACTTGTACATGTGTATGTCGAAATAACTTTAAGATTTTCCATATATTTTTGGTCGGAATCCTCTTCGTATGAATTTGAGAAATCATAGTAGCTTCGAAGATAGAAAAAAAAAGAAAAAGAGGGAGAAAGTAAGCTTACCAAAAATATTGGATATTTTACCACGAAATATGTGAAATTCAAGAGAGAAAGAGATAGAGAAATGAAGAAGGGCTGTAGGGTTCGTAAGTTATGAGTTGTCACTTGTATTCGAGTCGCTGAAAAGTAGGAACCTTCGATAAGAAAAAACTTTGAAGAACCGTAAAGTATTGTTTACGTATGATACATGTATGCACATTTATACCAATTTTATTATTTTCTATTATTTATTATCGTACGAATGGTAAAAAAGAACTAAATTAACTCTGCAGGTTAAAAGGTTACTGGCTTATCAATCGTAAAATCGTATTTAATACAAACTCGTTTGTCACACACACACACACACACACACACA